ACATTGTAAGCACTTAACAAATGTTTATTGGGGGGGGGTGGAGCCAAGATGGCGGAGTGAAAGCAGTGACTTGCTTGAGTCCTCCCTCAAACGCCTCCAAATACCTATAAAAAATGATTCTAAACAAATTCTAAAGCAGCAGAACCCACAAGAAGTCAGAGTGAAACAAATTTCCAGCCAAAGACAGTCTGATGGTTGATGGGAAAGGTACATCGCGCTGGGTGGGGAGAGGAGCGCAGTGCAGCGTGGGCATGCAGGTTGCAGCAAACCTGGAGCAGGCCTCAGAGGACTGAATCTTGGGCAGCTGTGGTGGTTTCCAGACTTTTCAACCCACGAACGCCAAAGACAACTTAGAAGGTCAGTGGGAAAAGTCTGTGACTGCAGTGAGAGAGAGAAGCTAGGGTTCAGCTGCAAGTCCTTAACATGAGACACGGCTGCCTCCTGAGCTTCCTGCCCACAGACTGAGGGGGAATCAAGTGGCTGATCAGAGGGGGATTGCAGGGATCACTTTGCCAGTGCTGAGGCAGGAATCTCTTCCTTTACCAGTGCTTGGATCTGGGTCACGGTTCTGAGGGGCGGTCCTGGGAAGAGGAGGAATGCTGGCGTGGTGGAGTTTGTTGTGGTGGTGGAGAGGAAACACCTTGCCCCTTATCATACCACCTCAGAAGGACTGAAAATTTACAGATCCCTAGAAGTATCTCTGAAAACAGCTGTACAAACCCCCAAAGCTTGGGACAGTACATTCTCCACATTGGAAGCAGACTCTTAACTTAACAAAGAGTTTAAAACTCAAGTAACTGGCCAGAATCATGAGTAAGCAGCACAAAAAGAGTCAGACTATATTATCTTACTTTGGTGACAAAGAAGATCAAAACATACAACCAGAAGAAGATAACAAAGTCAAAGCTCCTACATCCAAAGCCTCCAAGAAAAATATGAATCAGTCCCAGGCCTTGGAAGAGCTCAAAAGGAACTTTGAGAAGCAAGTAAGATAAGTAGAGGAAAAACTGAGAGTGATGCAAGAAAATCATGAAAAACAAGTCAACAGCTTGCTAAAGGAGACCCCAAAAAATACTGAAGAAAATAACACCTTAAAAATAGCCTAACCCAAATGGCAAAAGAGGTCAAAAAAACCAATGAGGAAAATGCCCTAAAAAGCAAAATTGGCCAAATGGAAAAGGAAGTCCAAAAGATTACTGAAGAAAATACTTCCTTAAAAATTAGAATAGAGCAATTGGAAGCTAGTGACTTTATGAGAAATCAAGACACTGTAAAACAATTCCAAAAAAATGAAAAATTAGAAAACAGTGAAATATCTCATTGGAAAAACACTGACCTGGAAAATAGATCCAGGAGAGAGAATTTAAAAATTATTGGACTATCTGAAAGCCATGATCAAAAAAAGAGCCTAGACATCATCTTTCAAGAAATTATCAAGGAAAACTGCCCTGATATTTTAGAACCAGAGGGCAAAATAGAAATTGAAAGAATCCACCAATCTCCTCCTGAAAGAGATCCCCAAAGGAAAACTCCTAGGAATATTGTAACCAAATTTCAGAGTTCCCAGGTCAAGGAGAAAATATTACAAGCAGCCAGAAAGAAGCAATTCCAATACTGTGGAAACACAATCAGGATAACACAAGATTTAGCAGCTTCTACATTAAGGGACCTTAGGGCATGGAATATAATATTCCAGAAGGCAAAGGAGATAGGATTACAACCAAGAATCACCTACCCAGCAAAACTGAATATAATCCTTCAGGGAAAAAAATGGTCATTCAGTGAAATAGAGGACTTTCAAGCATTCTTGATGAAAAGACCAGAGCTGAATAGAAAATTTGACTTCCAGATACAAGACTCGAGTGAAATATGAAGAGGTAAACAGGAAAGAGAAATCTTAAGAGACTTATTAAGGTTGAACTGTTTACATTCCTACATGGAAAGATGGCATTTGTAACTCATGAGACCTTTGTCAGTATTAGGGTAGTTAGAGGGAAAGAATTATATGTATGTATATATAGATAGATAGATAGAGGGCACAGGGAGAGTTGAAGATGAAGGAGTCATATCTGGAGAATAAAATTAAGGGGTGAGAGGATTATACTAGGAGAAGGAGAAAGGGAGAGGTAGAATGGGGTAAATTATCTCACAAAAAAAACAGAAAAGAAAAGGCTCTCACAGTGGAGGGGAAACAGGGAAAGGTGAGAGGGAATGAGTGAATCTCACTCTCATAGGATTTGACTTAAGGAGGGAATAACATACACACTCTATTGGGTATGGAAATCTGTCTTACCCTACAGGAAAATAGTAGGTGAAAGGGACAAGAGAGTAGGGGGTTAATAGAGAGGAGGGCGGATTGGGAAAGGGGGTAACCAGAAGCAAATACTTCTGAGGAGGGACAGGGTCGAAAGAAAGAATAGAATAAATGGAGGTGTGGGATAGCATTAAGGGAAATAGAGTTAGTTTTTCACAGCATGTCTATTATGGGAGTGTTTGGCATAACTGCACATGTATAACCTATATTGAGTTGCTTGCCTTTTCAATGAGGGTGGGTGGGGAGGGAGGAAAGGAGAAAATTTGGAACCCAAAGTTGTAAAAACACATGTTTAAAAAAAATGTTTTCATATGCAACTGGGAAATAAGAAATACAGGATATGGGGTACAGAAATCTATCCTACCATATAGGAAAATAGAAGGGGAAGGGGATAAGAGAAGGGGGGGAGAGATAGAAGGGAAGGCAGACTAGGGGAAGGGGTATTCAGAATGCATGCCATCTTGGGATGGGGGAAGGGGTGAGATGGGGTGAAAATTTGGAACTCAAAATCTTGTGGAAGAAAATGTTGAAAAATAAATAAATTTAAAAAAATAAAAAATAAAAAAATAAAGAAATGTTTATTAGATTAGATTGTATTAGGCCTTATCCTCTAGGTTTCAGTTTTTTCATCTCCTAAAATGGGGGTAATGATTATAATAACTACCTTAAAGAGCTGGCGTAGGGAGAAAGTTTTTTTTTTTAAAGTCTGTAAAACACAGTATAATTGTGTTACTGTGATCAATTCACACTCCTTACTGTTAAAGAACATGCCATTCTGAGGAATGAAGTGATGTGTTAGAGATCCTCTTGAAATGCTAAGCCAATGTTATTTTAGTTTATTTGGCTGAAATGTCGCTTTGGTCCCTCCCATTGCTTTATTTTCCTTTGTTTTCCAAGAACAAGAAGATTAATTTGATTAAACTAGAATTGGATCTCTTACCTAATTTGTTGTCACTTTCTGACTGCTCACCTGCTGCTGACCTCTGTAACTACAGGATTCAGACTGGGAACGGGTCTTGTTATGAACATCTGTATAGCATCCTCATGATTTCAAAATGTGCTATATCTATTATCTTATTTGATCCTCACAACAACCCCATGATGTAGGCGCTATGATAATAATAATAATAATAATAATAATAATAATTTTCTATACTTTTCAGATGAGGACAATGAGGCTAAGAGACAATAAGGGAGCTGCCCATGATCCCACCTAGTAAATGTCTGAGGTAGGATTTGAACTAAAGTTCTTCCTGATTCCAAGTCCAGCACTAAAGCTCCTATGCCGTTTATTTAATGGAACCCTTTTGTTTTACACATGAGACCCAGAGGGATGATGTTACTGGCCCTTCACCCCAACCGTCACAGCCACCCTTCCAACCCGGGAATTCAGTCTCTTAATTTCACTGCACTCCATTATGCTGCTTTCCGAGAAACTCCTTCCTAGGAACCAAGTTCACAAATTTTAAACTTCTGCTCTTTCTCATATCCTTCAAGCAATTAAGAGACCTAAATCCTACGTGGATATCTACCTTGGTTTTCAAAGTAGGAAAGGAGGCAAATTTCAGAGGCAGACATCCCAAACTCATTATAATATTGGGCTTTTTCTCTTAGCTTCCTCTCTCCCTCTTCTCTTTCCTTCCTTCCTCTTCCTACCCACCTTACCTCTCTCTGTCTCTATTTCTTTTCTTTCTTCATGTCCTCCCTCTCTTGATTATCCCCCTTTCAAAATAAAATAATTTTTTTTTTAAAAAGAGAGTTTCTTCCACTTTGTTTCAAGGTATTCTAATGTAAGTCCCAGGAAGCCTAACCCACTACCAGATGGGAAGCTGTTCTCAAGCTTCTGTTGGCATCTGTCATTCCCATCTGGTGACATTTGCATTAATCTCAAAAGGCAAACCTGTCCCACAGATCTTCAGTCTTTTGAAAGAGGCCTATCCCCAGGTAAGCCCATAGGCCTCTGGCTAACAGGGAGTGTGCATACCATCTGATTGGCTTCCTCCCTACCATTATTGCTGCTGGATCCCATCCTGGAAAATTAGCATCTGCCAAGTCATTCTTGAGGATTTGGAGATGGCAATCAGAATGCCCCTGACTGTCAGAAACGGCTCTGCTTTGGCCTGACTGGTTCCCCCCTTTTTCATTAGACTCCCCTCCTCATCTGGAGTTGGATTAGGTTGATTCCAGAATTTTACTTATTTTCTCTTAACACTGTAGAGTTAGGAATCTGGTTTATTCCCTTCTCCTGCCCTCCCCTCCCTCACCCTCAGCCTTCTCATTCTTTCTCTGTCAGTTCTCATTCTCATAGGGGGACTTATTATTTATTACTCAAGAAATGTGCTCTGGAAAAGTAGGAGGCATTCTGACTGGGAATTAGTCATTGTTGCACTTAGATTTAGACATTACTTTTATCCCCAGAAGCAGCAGGGCAAGAAAAATCTCTCTCCCATACTCCCGGGAGGAACTGTAATTCAAGTGCTGTGTTCTCTCCCTGGAGCCAATACTTCCTCTGAGGTCTTTCATTTTGGCTGAATCTTATCCATCAGCTCACCCCCGAAGGTTACATGCTTATGGGATTCTATACATGGGGTGGTGATTTCTGGGATTTCTGCATCAAATAGGTATTTTGCTAGTCCATCACAAACAAAATAGGGAACGGGATATCATTAAATTTAAATAAACTTACCCAAATCACATCATTTCCAAGAAGAACTCTGAGTGAAGTAAATCAAAACCAGCAAGTATTTATCAACTGCCTATTGTGTGCCAGGTACTGATAAAAAGACAAAAATGGAACAGTTTCTGCCCTTAGGGAACTTGTGTTCTATTGGAGAAGACAACATGTACATATATAAACATTTACTGAATATATAACAAATGACTACAATATGGGGTGTGAAGAATCATTAGAGCCTGGGGTGGGGAGGAATCAGGAAAAGCTTATTGTCTTGAACTGAGCTTTGAAAGAAGTCAGGAATTCTAAGAGGCAGAAATGAGGAGGAAGTAAATTCCAGGTATGAAAGGCAGCCAGTGTAAAGGCATTGCAATGGGAGATGTAGTAGCATGTGTGACTTCCTTCAAAACTCAAATCAGGCATCACCTTCTACAACAAGCTTCCCTGATCCCCCAGGACTCCCTCTCTCTCTGTCTCTCTCTCTCACTCTCTGCCCAGGAGATACTAAACCTTACCCAAGTAATAGACTCCTTGAAAATTAGAATCAACCACACAGGAGTTAATGATTCCATGAGACAATAAGAAATATTAAAACAAAGTCAAAAGATTGAAAAAAAATAGAAGAAAATATAAAGTATCTCAAATAAAAAACAATTGATCTGGAAAATAGACTGAAGACAGATCATTTATGAAGCCTTGAACTCTACGATGAAAATAAAAAAGAGCCTGGACATTATATTTCAATAAGTCATGAAAGAAATCTGCCCAGACCTCTTAGGACCAGAGGGCAAAGTAAAAATAGGAAGAATCCACTAGTTACTTCATGAAAGAAACCCCAAATTGAAAACTCCCATGAACATTATAACCAAAATTGAGAGAATCTAGGTCAAAGAAAAAATACTACAAGGAGCTAGGAAGAAAAAATTCAAGTATTGAAGAGCCATTGTCAGGGTAATGCAAGATTTAGCAGCTATCTCTATGGAAGAGTAGACAGTTTGAAATATGATATTCCAAAGGGCAAAAGATATAGGCTTATAACCAGGAATAACTTAGCCAGCAAAACTGAGTATAATCCTCCAGGGGTAAAAATGGATCTTTAATGAAATAGAAGACTTCTAAGCATTCCCCATGAAAAGACTGGATATTAGGGGAAAAAAAAACTTTGAAATACAAAGAGAAATACAAAAAGGTAAATACAAGCAAGCAATCAGAAAAACACTTTATGAGGGTAAAATGTTAACATTCTAATGGTGATTGAAGTGAGATTATACAAGCAGCTCCTATAACCTTTAATGTAAGCAGGTGTCATAAAGGGATTCAAATAAAATGACCTGAAAATGATTTTTAAAATATTTTGATGATTTGAAGAGAGAAAAAGAAAGGGAGGGGGAAAGGGATAAACTAGGGATGAAAATGGAGGGAGGGTACTTCATTATTTCACATAGCCAGGGGGTATAATTAGAAGTCCTTTCTTCCTTTGACATTTTTGAAAGCTTCTCCTCCAAAATCCTGCATGTATGTCAGTCCATGACCACTCTTTCTATACTTTCCTGGTGTAAGCACGATGATGCTATAGTCATTTGCTTTAAGGTTCTTGTAATATCTTACTCATCTCCCAGTTTCTCCATTTTTGTTGGTCAGGTTTAAGCCCTGAAGAGTAGTTCCCTTTGTTGTTTCCCTTACCTTTTGAAGAGTGCAATTATCATTCTGGCAAGTCATGAATTTCAGAGGTGCTGTGCTTTTGGCAGACAGAATTCCAGCAGATGTTCTGATCGTCAAAGTCCCCCATCACTACAACGTTATGCCTCTTGTGCCAGGTTTATGATTGGCTTTTGAACTCCTTCTGTCCTAGTTTGTAGTAGGCTCCCATGAAACTCCAAAACTAGCAATTTTTACTCCTAGAATAAACACCACAAACTTTTTCTGAGGTAAGTGGGGTGACAGGTTCCCTCAATTGGTTGTGGGGGTGGATAGACATCCTAGGATGTCACAAGACTGAAACTGGGGAGACTGCCCAGGTGCTAAGATCAATTATCTCTCCACTCTTGGGTATCCCAGAGACTCGATTACTCCAGGGTAGTACTGGAGAGGCTTAAAGCAAAGCAACATATGCATTTGGGGAAAGCAGTAAAAGAGGGTTTGAAGACAACCTGTATCTTTCAGCTCAACTTCATTCCCCACTAAAACAAACACTTAAAGTGTTAAAGCTGGAAGAAAACTTAGGAATCATCTCCTTGATTTTTTGCAAAGGAGGAAACTGAGGCCCCAAAGAGAGGAAATTACTTGATCAAGGTCACAGTCAACTCTTACTGAAGTTGAAAATGAGCTGAAGTAGATTCCAATATATATATATTTTTAAAATTAAAATTTCTTTGGTTATCGGGTCTCCCTATCTCATAGGTGGGATGAACTGCAGCCACTCAAGGGCCCAATCTCACTCCTGGCCATTATGGAAGCTTTAGCCCATTCAGTTTCCAATCTGGGTCAACCCTTTCCTACTTGGAGGGGGACCTGGTCCTCCCTCATTCCTGGTGGCTCCCCCTATTTGTGCTAGACTTCATGAAGACACCTGATTGTCTTAGCCGTACTGCAGCTTGGAACTAGAGTGCAACTAAAGCTCACCAACTTCAGGCTCCCCAATAACAGGGATTGTTGGAAATTTGGTTTTCCTTAGGGGCAACAGGTACATGCCACCACGCCTGGCTGTGGATATTTTTTTAAATTGTTTTTTAAAAAAAAATTGTTTTATTAAAAACTCAACACTAAACATCAACAAAGAGCTCAATTTGTTTTGTAACTACTTACATTTAAGTTCACTTCAATTTATTTAGTGCCACCAAACTCTTTTGCCTTTAAGTCCCTATCAGAATTCAACATACATCCATTCTAATTGACTTTTCCTGGTATGATTATAGTTAGGATGTACTTCATTCTTCCAGTACTACTTTTTTCATTTTTCTTATTTCATAAAGGTCATTCCAGATTTCTTTGAATTTCTCATTCTTCTTGGTCATAATTACATTTATAATATTATACTACATTATTGTTCCACAATTTATCAAACCATTTCATTGAGGGACATTTAGGCTGTTTCTAGTTCTGTTTTTGTTTTGCACTTACATATAATACTACTATGAGCTGCTTTGAAAAAATAGTTCTTTTATGTTGTTTTTAATAGCACTTTTGAGGGTTATTGACCAACAAAGAAATTGTTAGATCAAAGCATGTGATTATTTTTGTAACTTTTATGCCTGATACTAGACTGCTCTAGGGAAATATTGTATAAGTTGGTAATGGGATGGCATGAAATGATCTCAAATCTCATATCCTCATAGACTATTAGAGCTAGAAGTAACCTTAGAGATCAGCTTGTCCAATCTTCTTATTTTATAGGGAAAGAAAACAGAGCTTCAGAGGTAGCATAGAAACAGAGACTGGAATCCAGTTCTTTCTCTGATCCATTGTTTTTTCAGTCAGACTGTTGAAATTTGGTTTTCCTTAGGGGCAAGTATGAGGATACTAGCTCTTTCAGTGTAGCAATTCCTAGTCTCATGACTTAGGATAAACATATACACAGGCAGGCAGGGTGTGGAGGTGGGAATAGAGGCTACTATCTTTCCAAGTACATGATAGTCTTCGAGGTCACCTCATATATATGTCCCTCAAATGGAAAAGTCTAGGCAGATTGTGAAGGTGAAGTTTCTGGGGAAAAACCATCTCTAGGGATGAGAGAGTCAGAGGCATTCCCAGGAAGGCACAATGCTTTCTTTTGAATTGCCCAAACTGAAAAGCTTTTCTTTCTCAGGCAAGTTGTGTTGAAAAAATGAGGAAATCTCGAGAGATGGGAGAAGCCCAGAAGTAAAGTGAGAATAACAAAAAATGACTTAGTACAAGATACCTAGTTCTAGATCAGATAGTATTTAACTTCTAATATATTCTATCTAGCTACAGGTCCCCAGGCTTAGATTAGTCCATGACCTTCTTGAGGCTCCAATATTAAGGAACTGATGCCTGGTCCAGAGAGCTGGAGCATAGGGATCATTCCTTTTCCATTAAGGGGCTCATCTGTTCTCAACCCAGGTAAGTGGCTGGGACCGGGTTTAGTCTTGTGGGAATGGAGTCTCTGGGTTTAGGCTCCCTTCTCTTCCTCTTTGGTTCATTAACTCCCCCTCCCCCAGTCCAATTTCCCAGGGAAGTTTTACTTAGAGCTTTACATATAGCTCACATTTAGATTTAGGTCTCCCCAGAGGGGAATAGAAACATATAATGAGTCAAGTATTGGAAAGAAACATATCTCTTACACACAAAAGGATTGTTCCTAGAAAGTAAAGATGGACTTTTGCCTTTCTTTGTGTTCTTACCACTTAGCCCATAGTAGGTGCTTAATAAATTACTCAGCTTATTGGCCGACTAAAATAGAATATACATAAAAAAGCAAGCATTTGACAAAAACTTAAAAGAGCATTCAGTTATTTAACTTATAACTATTGTTACAATCTGCTGGGAGATTGAGACTTAAATCTTGTCAGGATATAAATCAGTTTTCAGGACTGCTGATTGGTCAGTCCTTCAGTCAATAAACTTTTGTTAAACACTTGCTATATGCCAGACCTGTTCTAAGATCTGGGAATGCAAAGATAGGCAAAAAGACAGTCCTTGTCCTCAAGGAGGGATAGTTAGGTGGGACAGTGGATAGAGCGCTGGGCTTGGAGTTAAGAAGACCTGAGTTCAAATCCAGACACTTACTAGTTGTGTGACTCTGTTTGCCTCAGTTTCCTCATCTGTAAAATGAGATAGAGAAGGAAATGATAAACCACTCCAGTATCTTTTCCAAGAAAACACCAATTGGGATCACAAAAAGAAGGACATGATTGAAATGACTGAATAATGAACAACATCCTCAACTTACAATCTAATGGTAGAAGACAGTATTCAAAATGAAGTTGAAAGGGGAGAGGGGAGGGAAGGTACCTGACCCTGGAGCATGATGGAGAAGTCAAGAGGTCTGTAGCTAGGTTGGAAATAAAGACGTGGTTGGCCTGGTCTCCTTGCTTA